CCCACAGTTCCGCCTACAGCACTCGGGCACCATCTCAACACCGACCTGCTCTCCTCAGGGCCACACAAGTCTCTTCCCAAGGACGTGTCCCTAGCCCCTCTGTGACAAGCATCAGACTTCACAGCGGCTCTCTCCACGAGAATAGACAGCTCCGCCTGAACCCCAGAACCCCAGACCTCTCAAGTCCCTCTCTGTACAGGGAACCCCAGGGGATGACCTAGAGGTGTCTTCCGCGGGAGCCTAGTGAGAAGAAGGGGGCTCAGCTGAAGTGGGGTTTCCGGGGTTGAGGTAGCATTACTCCATTTTCCTTCCCCTTCTTTCCCGTTCCTCCTCCTCCTGCTCCTCCTCCTGCTCCTCCTCCTCCTTTTCTCTCTCTCTCTCTCTCTCTCTCTCTCTCTCTCTCTCTCTCTCTCTCTCTTTCCTTTCCTTCCCTCCCATCTTACTTTCATGGGCTGATAAAGGTGGGGTCTTAGGCAGCAGAGTTGGTTCCAAGCGCCACCCGCCTCCATACACATCCCCACATCACTACTACCTAGCTGTGTGGCCCTGGCTTCACTTTCTGCATGACCCGAAGGGACACGGTGTCCTCCACCCCACCCCCACCCCCCGGTCCAGGCACAGATTGGAATGCTCATTGGCATCTGGATGCTCAGAAGCATGGGGCCCTCTCCTCCCCAGCACGCTCTGCTCCTCTCCCCCACACCCCAATGGTCTTCCCTTCTTGTCCCTCCGCATCTTGTCTTGTTCCCATGTTCCCTCAGTCCATCACCCACCCAGGAGGCATCAATGAGGCACTTCGCTGGGTCCCAGCCCCAGAGAAGGTGCTGCCCCTGTCCGTCTTCGGCTGGATGCAGAGGGGCCACCACAGTTTGCCAGCTGCAAGGATTACACATAGGTCCTGGGAGGCAGGGGCTGCTGTGAGAAGCCTCCAGGACAAGACTGAAGGTTTCACTTAGTGTTTGCCTGTCATGATAGCCAGGAGGAAGAGGGTGGACTCTGATGAGTGTCAGCTTTTCCAATGGCAACAAGATTTCCTGGGCCCTTGCCTGACCTGGCCAACCCTGATGTCCCGGAAGTGTACTGTCCAGGGGGGCCATGAGGCCCCAGTCACAGACAAGGGCCTCTGTGACATGATGGATCCCATACCAGGGCATCCCATACCAGGGCACATCTGTGGAACTGGGAGGACAGTGGGAACGCGAGTCTATTTTTGAACCTTCCTCTCTGCTCACAATCCCTGTAAGTTCAGGCCCTCTGAAGCAATCCGAGGCTCCAGCTTGGATCAGTTCAGAGCTGCCTCATCTCAAGACCCAACCAGGGAGGAACAGCCTGTCCTCTGATGAAGTGTGAGTCCAAGCAGCCTAACGTTCAGGAACTGGCCAGGCCAGAGGACGTGCATCTGTGTATTACACCCTGGCAAAGTGGCTTGGAAGAGAACTAGCTGAAGTAGACCCTGGGCCAGGAGGCCTTGGCCCCAGAAGGACCCTTCCCCTGCCAGGCTCCTCTCTGTGCTTGCCCAGCAGACTTCAGGGTGTGTGTGACGAGAGCCAGGGGGAGGTGGGGACTGGACATCAAGTGCATTTTCTGGGCCTGTTGGGTTACTCGGAAACCAACATGCAAAGCTTCAGAAAGACTATCAAGATGTTCACACAGATCCACTGAAGAACCAGTATTTATGGCTAAAACCCCAAACCCACTAGTCCTTCCTAACTCTACGTCCTCTTCTGAGCCAAGGAAACTGAGGTTCAAATCCAGTCTGCCAGCATCTAACTGGGTCCCCTTGGGCCGGTTACTCAACCTCTCTGAGTCTCTGATTCCTCATATGTATAAAGACCTAACTCGGGGGAGGGGGGGTTCTGTGAAGAATAAATGAGAAGATAGATGTGAAACACTTCACATGCGTGGGGAAATGTCAAACCAAGCAGGCTATGAAATCCTCAGAGAAGAAATGAAGTTAGCCAGGCAGAGCCGGGCTCAGGTCTTTGTCCCTGACTAGGAGTGTGTGGTGTTGGGTGAGTCATTTTCTTTGCCCAAGCCTTGGCTTCTCTGCCAGGAGAAAGTGTCTGATTTGGGGAGGAAAGCCTGCCCATAGGCTGCCCACAGAGCAGAGATGCCTCACCTGGGAAGAAGTGTGGTTCAAGGGGGAATCAGATTAGCTAGTCAGCTTCACAGCCGAGCCCCCAGAGACAGCCTTCGGGAGATGCTCCGAGGCTGGGGTCTCAAAATTCCGTTCTAGACCAGGGAAGCTGAAAGGGGATGGATGGGGAAGATGACCCCTCCCCCCTCCACTCTCCCCCCTCCCCCCCAGGAAGGTGTATTCTAAGACCTTCCAGCCAGAGTTGGGAGGACTAGGGAGGGAGAGAAGAGACCCTGGGATGGAGTGAACAACTTCTGTGAAGAAGTCCCCACCCCAGCCTCAGGTTACAATGCCAGGAGCATATAGGCACTGAAGCAAAGGGCGGCCACCACCTGAACCCCAGGCACCCACAACCTAGAGCACCGTCTCCCCATGGCACGCTGCTGAGATGTTCTGTGCCCATATCCTTTGGGGTTTCTGCTCCCCTCCATTTCTTTACCACCACCCACAGCCCTCCCGCCTTGCCCTTGCAGGGTTCCATGAAGCCCCTCAGGTCCTGGTCTTCCAAGCTCATCTCAAATCCCAAGTCAAGGTCTTGGAGGATGCCGGGGTGGGGGTAGAGGGTTGGCTTGCTGGCTTGGCTGTCTGTCGTGTGGCTGTCTGTCGTGTGGCTGTAGCAGGTCTGCGATGGTTTGCTCTGACTTCCTTGCCCACACCAGAGATTATGCAGCACACATAGGGAAATCTTGTGCCTAAATGTTGATCCCAGTTCAGGCCTTGGCTTTGGAGAACTCTGCCCTCTTCTGAGTCAGTCAAAGCTGGTCCCCTACTCCTCCCGCTCCAGAGGTTCGGATTGATCTGCCTTCCACTTTGCTGGAAGAGTGTCCACACTCTGGAATCCCACTCAAAACATGAGTCACCTTGTACAAAATGTACTGGGCATCGGAGCATACCAGAAAGGCTCCCACCACGTCTCCCACTTCAGGAGACAAGTCCCTGGTTGTCCCCGGGCCGCCGCACCCATGGGGGCATTCCCAAGTAAGGCTCAGAGTGCGCTGGTCTCCTTCTCATTCACGGAGGGCTTCTCGTTCAGTGATGACATCTTGGTGAAGCTCCTGTGACTAGGGTAAGAGGAGGGTCCCGTGTCCTCACTCAGGGCGTTGACCAAGCGGGAGAAGAGAGTCACTTTGAACTTCTTGAAGTCATGCCCCATGAAGACATAGAGAATGGGATTCATGCAGCTGTTGGCGATGGCGATGGCAGTGGCCAGGGGCAGTCCCAGGCTGAAGACAGAGGCCGGCACAGCTGTGTGGTGGAGCTCCAGCAGGTAGAGGGTGTGGTAGGGGCACCAGCACAGGAAGAAGGTGACAATGATGGTGATGATGATCTTGAAGGGCTTCTTGGTCTTGGCGAGGCGGTTGCGCTGGAGCTTGAAGACGATGGTGAGATAACAGGCCGTGATGATGCAGACGGGGACCAGGAAGCCACAAAGGAAGCGGGTGATGGTGACCACCATGAGTCTACTGAACCCTGCAGGATCGATTCGGGAGTGAGCGGAGTGCGGGAACGACTCGGGGGCAGACAAGCTGAAGTTGTTGAAGCAGGTAGTTTTCCCGTGCACATGGCTCGTGTCCCGGAAGATAAGAGACGGGGAACTCAAGAAGAAGGCCAGGACCCAGACGACCACACAGGTCATGTAGGCCAGCCGGACACTGCGGTGGTTCTGCGACCAGACCGGAAGCAGCACAGAGATGCAGCGGTCAAAGCTGATGACCGTGAGCAGGAACACACTGGTGTACATGTTGTGGCTGAGCAAAAAGCTGCTGATCTTGCACATGGCCTTCCCGAACACCCAGTGGTAGTCCATGGCGGTGTAGGTGATGTGGATCGGCAGGAAGATGTTGAACAGGAAGTCGGCCACTGCCAGGTTGACGAACCACACCGTGTTCACTGTCTTCTTCATCTTGAGCGTGGCAATGACAATCACCAGGCCGTTGCCTAGGATCCCAAGGAAGCACACCACGCTGTAGATCACCGCCAGGAAGATGCGGGCCACCAACTTGGCCTCCAGCGGGTTCACCTCCTCCACATCCATAATGGTGTCGAAGCCATCAGAGTACTCATCATCGTAACTGCTGGAATCGTTGTAAGTGCCGAAGTACTCCATCTCTGCAAGGGAAGACAGGGTCACAGGCTAAAGACCTTGACGGACAGGCCCTGAGGCGTTGCCTGGCAACAGCGAGACCCGAGACCCGCCGCTTCCTCCTAAGACATCTCCTCTTTGTCTTTTCACGTCCTTGTATTTGTTTGCCTGTCACATGTGCATGTACCTGTGTTCTTGTATGGGTAGGTGCATGTGGAGGGCAGGGGGCAATGTCAGAGGAGACGTCT